TTTGAGGGCCTCTATCATTTTTATGATGATAATTTTTAAGTTGGTGTCTTCTGCTTCATCTCCTTTGGGGTGTTCAGGTCTAGTTGGTGTAGAGTCCTTAGATTCTGGTGGTTTTACACTTGCCTTTCTATTGTTAGGTGTTTTCTTGTATTGTGGTCTTCCCATGGTTTTCCCAATAGGTGTAGGTGGAGTCTCTCTCTCTCTCTCTCTCTCTATGGTACTCTTCAAGTGGGCTTAGGTCGGTCAGAGGTTCAATGTCTGTATCTCTGGGTGGTTCAACCTCTCTAGGAGGTCTCTCCTCAGGCAGGGGCCCAGAAATGGGGGTTAAAGAGCAGTGGGGGTCAAAGATCCTGAAGGCTGGGACTCAGACTTTTTTGTGCAAGGATAGGCAGATCTTGCCTGGGCCTGGCACTCTCTAGCTGAGGCCTCTGTAGCAGAGGCCAGGTAATGGGGGTCAAGGATCTAGCCCACAGTGGCTCAGGATGGCTCCAAGGGGATAGGCGGATCTCTGGGAGGGTCCCAGAACTCTAGTAGAGGACCAGTAATGGGGTTCAGAGACCAGGCAGGTGGGGATTCTGGGTGGTCCCATGTGGATAGGTAGGTCTTATGTGCTCAGAATAGCTCCAGGAAGTCCCTCAAAGGCGGTAGGATTTTTGGCTCCACCCTCTGTCTCAGTGTTCTACTAGAGTGGTAGGACAGTGGGGAGGGGAGGGAACAGGGGAGAGGAAGGGCAGGCTCTTGATGAGGCTGGGTGAGTGTGTTATCAGAGCACCAGAAGCACTCTCTATGGGGACAGTGCACAGGGGGAACAAGATCCTGGGCCAATCCAGGGAGTTCTCTGGGAAGGGTGGGGGGGATTCTGCCCAAATTGGTCCCAGACTCACCTCTAACAGAGGCCTGGCAATGGGGATTAAAGATGATGGGGGTCAAAGACTAGGCTGAGACTCATGATGTTTCCTCACCGATAGGCTGATCTAGCTGGAACCTGTCACTCTTCAGCTGAGGGCTCTTTAGCAGAAGCCAGGTAATGGGGGTCAAGGATCCAGCCTGTAGGGACTCAGAGTGGCTCTGCAGGGATAAGTGGATCTCTGGTCGGGGCTAGGAGCTCCAGTGAGGATCAGTGGTGGGTATCAGAGACAAGGCAGGTGGGGAATCCAGGTGGTCGCACCTTCTTTTTTTGGTGGGGGGGGGGGCTCTGTGTAACTCAAAAAATAAAAACCAGAGATAGATATTGGGGTTAAAGCTGAAAGATCAGAGAAGCAAAGCAGCCAAACCAGTAGCTCTTACCTCTACCCAGGTTGACACAATCCTGCCCTCAATGTGGCTGGAGTCCAAAATGCCCCAGATTTAGTATCTGCTCCTTTCTTATATACCTCAAGTGCTGAGATTAAAGGCATGTGATCCCAAATGCTGAGATCACCTTTGTGTAAACTATTTCTATTTTAGACTGGATTACTTTCGTGTAGTTCAGTGTGGCCTTGAACTAACAGAGACATCTGTCTGTCTCTGGAGTCCTGGGACTAAAGGTGTGTGCCACCACTACCTGGCCTCTGTGGCTCGCTAGTATGGCTACTGGGATTAAAGGTGTGTATTACCACCACCTAGCTTCTATAGATAATAGTGTGGATGGCTTTGCATTCTGGTACTTTGGGCAATCTTTATTAAATCACAAATAATATATCACCACAGCTCTCTAATATGCTCAACTGCTGTTTATAATGTTTTAATTAGGTTTTTTTATTTATTGAAAAAAGTTTTTTTTCTCACATAATATATCCTGACAATGGTTTCCCCTCCCTATCCTCTTCTCAGTGCCTTCCAACTGACCTCCCATATGATCTACCCCCTTTCTTTCTCTCATTTGAAAACAACAGGCTTCTAAGGGATGATTATAAAATAAAATATGATAACATAAAACTTAACGCATTGGAATAGGACAAAACAAATAGAAGGAAAAGAACCAAAGAGAAGGAGCAAGAAACAGTTCCAATCATTTCCACACCCAGGAAGCCCATAAAAACAATAAATATGAAGTAATATCATATGTGCATATGCAAAAGACTTATAGAGTAAAAAGTCAGAAGAAAAAATATATAAATAAAATATAATATAATAACATAATTAACCCCCAAATAAGTTGTTCAATTGTTTTCTGTTGGTCATCTACTGCTGAGCATGCAGCCTGCCCTAAGAGTGGTTTGTCTCCCTCTAGATTCATTTGGAGGAAACTAAATTTTCATTTGCAAGTGGTTATCAATTGGAGATTGTTTATGGGTTAAGATTGTTATGGATTAAGGGTGGAGGAAAATGTCAGCTTCTTCTTTCTGCTCTAAAGCTCTGTCTGCTGCAGACCTGTGCAGGCTTTATGCATGCAGCCTCTTTCTGTTTATGTGTGTGTTGATCATGTTGATATAGAAGGCCTTGGGTTTTTTTTTGTTGTTGTTTTTGTTTTTTTGTTTTTGTTTTTTGATGACTTCCATACCCTCTGACTCTCACACTCTTCTCTCCTCCTCTTGTACAGGGTTTCCTTGGCCCTGAGGGGAAGAATTTGATGGAGCTATCACATTAAGGGCTGGGTGTTTGTTCAAGGTCTCTTCATTCTTTGCAGACTGTCTAGCTGTGGGTCTCTGCATATGTTCTCATCTGCTGCAGGAGGAAGCTTCCCTGATGATGACAGAGCAGGGCATGTGTAGCAGAATGTCATTAGGAGTCATCATAATGCTACTTTTGTTTAGAACAATAGTGGCTTATTTTACCTTTGATCCCCTTGGTCTCAGATTCTTGGTCACCCAGTGTAAAGTATTGTTTATATATCATGGGGTGAACCTTAAGTCAAATCAGATACTAGTTAATTACAAGCTTTGTGCCACCATTGCACTAGCATATTTTCAGTTGGGACACCATTATAGTTCAAAAGGTTTGTAACTGAGTTGGTGTTTACCAGAGATACTATCATGTAGGGGTGAAGGCTCTATGGAGGCACTAGCTCGACTTATGTTCATTGTGCTGTGTAGACATTGTCTTCAGTCATGGGGCCTTCCTGTCAGTTTGTAGAGAGCAACCTATACTCTTGGAACAACCTTGGTTTTCAAGGGTTCGTATGGGGCCCCTTTAAGCAACACCTCAATTAGATGTAACCCAATCCTAGTACTAGACATTTCATTTGGTGACAAAAGATACACAGTTGGGGCTCTGTATCCCCATTATTTGGTGATCCCCTTCTGATGGGAGATGTCATTCTGTAAAAAATGTTTCTCTTATTGGTTAATGAATAAAGCACTGTTGGCCAATAGGAAAGCAAGATAGGTGGGACTAGGAGACAAGGAAGAGAGAGGAAGGAGTAGGGAGGAGATCCAAGATGGAGGATGGAGAGAACAACGCCAGCCCCTCTCTTCGGTAAGATGAGACCACATGGAATACTTAATAGGAATGGGTTAATAATTAAGACAGAGCTAGCCAATAAGAAACTAGTAACTGGCCAACAGCATTTAATCTAATATAGTGTCTCTGTGTGTTATTTGGGGCTGGCGTGGCTGTGGGACCTGACCAGCAGGAAAAAACTACTCATAACACCCTTAATATACGCACACATTTTAGAAAGCTTCCACTGAATTAAGTTTTCATGCTACCCCTCAAATGAACTTTACTTTTAGCTGTCTTTCCTCATATTCTCTCCTTCCTCCTCTTCTTTGTTTTCCCTTTCGACTTGATACTCCCATCCATAACTACTCTTTTTCCCTTTCTTGATGAGATCTATCTGTACCCCTACTCCCTTACTCTGTACCTAACTTCTGTTTTTCTATGGATTTAGTTGCTTATCAATGACATAACAGCTAACAGCCACATATAAGCAAATATATACCATTTTTTACTTTCTGAATCTGAATTTCCTCCCTGAGGATGATGTTTTCTAATTCCTTCTATTTACCTGCAAATTTCATTTTTAATGGCTGAGAGTAATATTCCATTGTGTAAATGTACCACATTTTCTTTATCCATTCCTCTGTTGGGGAATATATAGATTATTTCTAATTTATGAATAGAGAAGTAATGAACACAGTGGTTGACAAAGGGCCCTTGTGATAGAATGAAGTGTCCTTTGGGTATATGCCTAGGAGTGGTACAGCTGGATCTTGAGGGAGATCTATTCCCAGCTCTCTGAGGAACCACCATACTATTTCCACAGTGGCTGTAAAAGTTTGCACTCCCACCAGCAATGGATGAGTGTCCTCCTTACTTCACAACCTCAGTAGCATGAACTGTCGTTTGTGTTACTGATCTTAACTTTTGACAGTGTTAAGATGTAATCTCAAAATCATTTTGTTTTGCATTTCCCTGATAGCTAAGGGTGTTGGACATTACTTGAAGTGTTTCTGAGCCATTTGAGGTTCCCTTTTTTGAGATTGTGTTTAGATCTATACCCCATCTTTCCATTGGGTTGTTTTCTTGATGTCTGGTTTTTTAGTTCTTCATATATTTTCTGATAGTATCCCTCTATTGTATGGTAGCTGGTAAAAATCCTTTCACATTCTGTAAGCTGCTGCTTTGTTTGAATGATGGCGATGTTAGGAAGTAGTGTCTTGCAGTTTTAGTGGATATTTTATTACTTTCTTCACTAACACTGATTTTATGTCCTATTAATATTTTGATGAGAATTTCTTTCTTTCTGTTTTAATTCTTCTCTCATACAATTCTGACCACAGTTTCCCCTTCCTCCACTCCTCCCAGTTTTCCTACACTTCCCTCTCCCCTAGATCTAAGCTCCTTCCATTTCCCTTCAGAAAAGAGCAGGTTCCATAAAACAAAATCTCATGCTTGTGGGCTTAAAAACATCTAGTATTTAGTAGTTATTTACATATTCAGTTATTCTGTCTTGTTTCATAGATGAGTCTGGAAACAGTAACTTTTTGGAACCAACCTAACTAATAGTCAACATTGTTAGTAGTCTTTATAAGTACTTTTTATAGTATAAAAAATTAATTGTAATTTCTTATTTGAAGCTCATTTAGCTGCTTCTGCTGGAAACCTCCTGTTTTTTGCCAGTTTCTTTCCCTATAACTTCATCTCTGAACACTATGAAATGTTGGACCTTACTTCCAAGGTGACTGCTTGTTTGAGTGCAAATGTTGCATTGGCACTGGGGATTAATATTTTAATCAAGTTGGAAATACAAGGTGGGTATCGGTATTGCTTACTCAGTTCTTAGGAAACTGGGTATGCAGGAGATGAGAAAGTAAGAAAATGTTATATTTTTCTAAAATCTGTTTATTATATAGGTAGTTATATAAAATATGAAAAACCTAAAGCTTCTATACCTAGCAGGAAAGCTATTTTCAGTTAATGGGCAGGGGAAAAATGTCAGTTTTCTTCAGCACTGTAGCCCATTCTAAGTTGATCATACTCCAGTTAATGGTGCCCTACACACATGCATGTATGGACAGCACTAATTGGATTAAAGGATTATAAAAAAAAAAGACATGAAGTTGAGAAGGGGATGAGAAGGATGTCAGGATGAGTGAGTTAGAGTTGGCGAACAAAGGGTAGACATGTCTTAAATGCATATATTTGTGTATGAAATTACCAATGAGCAAATTTTTTAAAGAAAAGAAAAATCAAAACTCAAATTGTCGTATCTCTTTTTTATGTGAACTATCAAATAAATCATTTAAGAACTTTTATTATTTTATTCTCTAAAAATATTCTTGAACTTTTCCCCATGCGAAGATATGCTTTTGTTCTTTTTGTAATGTTGTTTACTATTTCATTATAATAAGTTGAACCAACCACTTCCTTTAGGTGGCTATGGTTGTTGCTGTTATCCACACAGTTTATGTGTATGTGGTCAATGTGCATATTAATCTGAAAAATAAATTTCTAGTTGCCTAAGTGCTTACCTAGAGTAGGCAAGGAGACAATGCCTATATCCTAATTACTTGAGCCCTAGAGTTTGAGACCATCCTGTGCAAAATAGCAAAACTATAGATCATTTTTTAAATGTCTAAGTTATAAAATTCCTGTCTCACAAAGTGCTTATAGCATAAATTTTATTTATATCACAATAGCTATCAAAAGATGGCTCCAATTATACTGATTTTTAGAGCCTTTTAATACCAATGTCACAAGAATTTTATGACTTATACTGGTTTTGATTTTTTTGTTTCAGTTATTGTTTTGGGGTATTTTGTTTTGCTGAGGTAGAATCTCAACTATTTAGACCTGGATGACCTAAAATTTACAGTGCAAACCAGGCTCATGTCAAACTCACAAAGATCCACTGACTCTTTTTTCCAGAGTGTTGGGATTAAAAGCAGGAGCCACATACCAGCCGCATATGAATTCTTAATGTGTTGTTGTTGTATATTTTGCTGATCTTTATTTGTTCAGGTTACTTTATATCTGAATTTTAGGATCAGTTTTATGAAGTTCAATGAAAATTATTGTCAGGACTTAGTGAAATTTGTGTTCTATTTGCTAATTACTGTGAAAATTAAGAATACTTAATTTCCCATCTATACTTTCTAAAAAATTGCCTATCTGAGAGTGTGTATGTTATTTATTTATAGATACTTCTATAATTCTTATTTTGAAGGATTAACAACCTACATTATTTCATCTAGGTGTCATATTTACATTAGTTTATTGCAGTAGAGAGCAACCTTTTAGTTTTCTAATGACTTGTTTTTAATCACGTTTATCAATTTTACATTAGTTATTTTCTCTTCTCTCTATTATAAACTTTATCCTTCAGGAACTGTGTTTTGTTTGAAGCATGAGTGACTTCTCAGCTTACAGGCAATTTCCTGTGGGGTATATTTAAACTCCTATTTTTTTTTTCTGTGATTTCTAATTTATTACTTAACCTCTCAAAATCGATTAAATTTTGATAATCATTTTTGATTCCACAGAATATTTTCCTCATATTTTCCCTTTCTTTTAAAAGATACAGTATTCATGGATGTTTTTGAGGGGAAAAGAGGTCAGAGTTGAACAGATGAGCTGTTATCCTTTTTTAACTCTTGCCTCTTGAAGCAGAGTTCTTTGCAAACTTAATTCCTGTTATGGTGTCAGGAGGCAGGACAGTAAAAGCATTTCTTTTCTTCCATTGGTTACATTTTTTTTTTTTTTTTTTTTTTTTGCCCTTCCCTCCGTGTTAACTCCTTATTTATCATCTCATGATTAGTAGGCAGTCCATCTTCAGTGCTGTTGAATGTATTTTACACATTTGGATATTCTTGTTTCAGTGGGAGATTAACTAAAGGGGAAAGTAACAATATAGATTCTATTAAGTCTACTTTTTCCCTTGCTGTTCTTTTTGTTTCTTTCTTTTTTTGTTGTTGTTGTTGTTGTTATTGTTGTTGTTCTTTCAGTTATTTGTTTCATTTTAAGCATTCCTAATTGTTTTGAAAGGTTTTAAAGGAAAAATGAAAATACAAACATGATTTTTCTGTGGTAATACAATTACTAAAGGTTAGCAGCAAATAGGTAGTCTACAGTACAAAGTACCAAGTCACAAAGATTTCATCCATGCCCAATGTCTCCTTTTCATTTCAGAGATTGGTGTTAAATGGCATAACCTTTGGACACCAGCCAATCTTGAGGATAACCTCATCTTTGGCTATATGTTTGGAATGCTTTTGTTTGATGCTTTCTTATACAGCCTTGTCACCTGGTATGTAGAGACTGTCTTTCCTGGGCAGTGCGGTGTTCCTCAACCATGGTACTTTTTCCTTATGGTAAGTTATTTTTTTCTTTCTGTTTTTCTTTTACTGAACATAGATTTATATGTATATAATATATATAAACATACATATATATATATATATATATATATATATATGTCTGATTATGGCTTCCTGTCCTTCATCTCTTTGATATCCTTCTACATCCCTTTATGGTGAGCTTTAGTGCTGCTGTTAATTCCAAATGGCCATAAAAGGTGTGATCAAATTTAAAAGCCAAGTTCAGATCAACCTAATCTATAAATCACCGGTATTGAGATATTATCCATTTCTTAATATAGCATTAAATCTCCTCTGCATATAGTTGTATAACATGTGTAGCTAAAACACTGGAACTTTAAAAATTGTAAGCACTAAGATCTCCGTAGCCAGACAATATAGTCCCTTAGATTATAAGGTGGGGAAACAAAGGGAAACTCACACCAAATTCGTGTATGGTGCTTTCTTAGATTCTAGCTAAGAGAGAACTAAATAATTCCTGTATCTTAGTTTCACCATTTGGTCCCTTTCAGAGGAATGACCATTTATTTTCATAGAGTAGAAAAGTGCCCGCTTCTTTTCCTTCAGATTTCCTTATAATAACTGGGTGGTCCACAGTGAAAACACTATGGCCAAGAGTGATGATGACCCATGGCTTCAAGTTGACTTTCCAAAAATTCACTTCTGTCCTTCTACCTTGAAAACTACTCTCTTGAGGTTAAAATTATAGATAATTTGGCTAAACAATGTTATACCTGAAAATACACTTTGTTCTTATAGTGTAAATAGAGCCTGTTTCCTAGTCCTCAGAAATCTTCACTTTTTTAGTGAAATACATATGACATAAAATTACAAATTTTTAAATGATGTCACTAATAATTGGTACATTTATAATGTAAAGTCACAGTATGCAACCTTGACCTCTCTACTCATAGTTTTTCATCCTCAAAAACCAAAACTATTACTTTAGAAGAAGTAATATCCAGTTTTTGTATTCAGGCTCCTCTAATTTGCTTGATTTTTCTATGAATTTATATATTCAGCATGTATTATAGAAATACAGTCTTAATAGTTAACTATTTGTGGGTGCTTCATTAAGTAGTTTTTCAGATTTATCCATGGTGTAGGATAAATGGATATTTGCAGCCTGTTGTATGACTGTATAATATTGCATATCTCACTTGAGGACATATTTGTTTTCATCTCTTGTGAATAGGACTGTTATTAGTTATTTTGAGTATATAGGGTTGTAACTACTAATTCTTATGGCACTTCTGTGTTTCAGGTTTCGAAAACAATCAGAGCATATATTTCTTCTTGTCTCCCCCAACCTGTAAAGTGTTTAAGATTCTATTCCTTCACTCATACTTTCTTTTATAGTAGTTACCATCATAGGTTTTATGTGATATTCAATTGAATCTCCTGATAAATAATCATAGGTATGGTATTTATGTGCCAATTGACCTTTGGCCTTTGTATATCCTGTTTAGAGATATAAATTCAGGTCCTGTACCCATTTAGTAATTATTTACTTTTTTATGTATCTGCTATACTAAACCCTTCTTTTATGTATGATTTGCAAATATTATCTCCCATTCTATAAATCATTCTTTTAGTCTTCATTATATTCTTTAACACACATTTTGTCCTTAGTTTTGATGACCCAATTTTTATCTGTTTTTTGTTTAATTGTTTATAGATTTCATATTATTTCTAGGAACCATTGTGAAATACACGGTCATAATGATTTATTTAACTTTCTCCTAAGAGTTGAATTTTTGCCCTTGTACTTGGATCATTGGTTACTTGAATCAATTCTTCATGTAGTGTGAGATAGTAGTCCACCTTCTTGCTTTTGCACAGATACGCTAATATTCCAGTACCATAATTTGAAGAATTACTCACTTCCTGTTGAATATGGCTGTAGCACTGTAGATGAGAAACAATTAGCAATTAGCAATAAATGTATGGGTTGTTTCTTGGTTATCAGTCTTAATCATATATATATATATATATATATATACATATATATATATATATGTATATATTCCTGATCCAGTATGACACCATTTTGTTATTACAGCCATAGTATAAGTTTTAAAATCTGCAAGTGTGAGTCATCTACCTTTGTTGTTCTTGAAGATTGTTTGGGACTAAAAACAGGTTTGTGTGATTCACTATGATCCTGAGTTTCAGCTTTTCTGCAAAAATGACCATTGGAATTTTGACAGGGTTTGAACTGTGGTGGCATATTGTTGCTGTCTTAGAAAGTTTAGGTTACAATTCATGTGTCTTTTGTTTTAATTTGGTAGTCTTCAGCTTCTTTCAATAGAACTTGAAGATTTTCACTGTAGTGATCTATTTCTTTACCTAACCTATTTATTCCTCAAATTTTGTTTTTTTATCATACATGAACTGAAATTATCATATGATATATTTTTCTTTTATCCTATTAATGTGATGCTACATTGATTGATTATAGTATCTGGAACCATCTCTGCAATACATTTCATTTTATAATGGCATATAATCATTTTCATGTTCAGTAGATTCAGCTTGTTAGCATTATATTGAAGATTTTTGCATCCATATTATAAGATCTATAGTTTGATTTTCTTTGTCTGGTTTTGGTGTCAGGATGATACTGATTTCTCAGTGAATTAGGAGGTATGTCCTTAAGTTTTTGGTAGAGCTGAATAAAACTGTTAAGTTGTGTTTAAATGTTTTAGAAAATTCCCTAATGAAACTATCTAGTCTGGTCTTTGTAGGAATGTTACTAATCACTGACTCACTTTGTTATAGGTCTATTCAGAGTTCAGTTCTTTTTTCTACATACATACATACATACATACATACATACATACATACATACATACATATATCATGTTTCCCTCCTCCCACAACTCCTCCCAGACCCTTCCCATCTCTTTGCCCACCCACCCAACTTTATGTTCTTTCTTGCCCTTTCAAAAAACAGATTTTGTTGTTCTTACTAACATTTTCTATTCATTCATTAATAAAAAGTGCATAGTACAAACCCTTTATCCCCAGTGCTCCATGAATGATTAACAATAAACCCTTGATAGCACATACTTATTTGACATGAGTCAAACCTTTAGAAACAGCAAATCAAAACAAAAGTTTTTAATGATTGTTTTGTTGTCTTTTTCTGTAGCGTTCATACTGGTTTGGCAAACCAAAAATTAGAAAGATTGCAGAAGAGACAAAGTGCTTACCCACAATACATAACTGTTTTGAGGTTGAACCTACCAACTTGGTGGCAGGTATCCAAATCAAACGTTTGCACAAGGTATTGTTTCAAATATTCCTGCAGGAACCAAAAACCACTTACTATCCATTGAGCTTCTTTATTATTGACTAATACAGAAAAAAAGAGATGCTTTAATTATGTTATTCACTTCATAATTATATAGTTGTCCTCTAAGGACCAGAGCTTGGTTAGAGCTATGTTTAGTAATCATATAAATATAGAAATATCTTTACAAATGTGTTATTCACTCCATCTTTATGCTTTCCTTTCATTCTTCTCTGATAGACATGGCAAAAAGTGATAATGTGATTTTATAAAAATTTATGTTAATAAAGAAACTTGATGCAATGCTTCATTTAAATGTGGTGAGGAGAGTAACACTACTTGCAGTCTTCTAGCATGTAACTTTCTACTTTTCTTAAATCTGAAACAATCTTTATTTCATCTTCATTTTCTAAGAGTGCTATTGTTATGAAATTTATTTTTCCAGATTTAATGAACATATAAAATGTTCATATATTTTAGGTATACAGTATTTTTGGTGTACATGTGTACTATCAATAGGTTTTGATAGTTCTCATTAATAAGAAAATTTTAAATTTGCACTTACCACATTTCAGATAAACAGTGCTATATTATTAACTATCACTGAATGTTGTAATTAGGCTCCAAGATTTATTTACTTTACAACTGAAAGTTGGTGCCCTTTAGTCAATATATCTATATTTCCCTCAGTACTTGATAATCACTGTCCTGCTCTCTCCTAATGTGGTGTTTTTAGATTTTTACATAGAGAAGAAATGATAGTTTTTGCCTGTATGTCTGGCTTATATCCAGTATACTGTTCTCTGGGGTTTGTTCATGAGTTACAAATGCCAGGATATCCTTCTTTTGTGACCAAAAAATATTCCAGCTGTGTCTCACATCTTTACCCATTTATTTGCTGGTAGACAAATTTTTACTTATCTTGGGCATTGTGAGTTATGCTTTACTGAACATGGAAATGATTGTTCTTAATCTCAGGTGTGAGGTATACTGTAGACTTAGATCATTAGATTCTATGATTATCTTGTTATACATTTAAAAGTAAAAGATAAGTTATTAGTACTTTTTCTACATTTTTATATGATTTGTGAGGGCTTTCTTTCTTAACTCTGTTTTTCTCTTACATGTGTTGTGCATGGGTGTGTGCATATGCACATGGGTATGGATGCATTATTTATTGAAGCATGTCTCAGTCAGAGCTAGGGCACAGAAATACGTCTAATCTTGATAGTCATCTTGCTCTGTGGAATCTCTGTTTTGGCTGCTCAGGCTGGAATTACAGGCAGATCACCATGGTCCCCAGCCACTTACATGCATTCAGGATCAGATTCCTTTGATTTTGCTTATGCGGGAAGCACTATAACAACTGGGCCTTCTGTTTTTGTTTTGCTTTGATTTTTGAGTCATGGAGTTGTTATATAGCTAGGTTCACATTGAATTCATGGTCTTTCTGCCTCTGTCTCCTAAGTACTGGGATTGTTGGTGTTTGTATCTTTGCACAAGCATTGTTTCCAGTGAAACATTCTGTTTCACTTCTATTTTGCTTCCTATACCGTTCTTTTATTTTCTGGCACCTTATAAGAAATTTGTCACTAGTTTTGTACAATTGGATGATTTTTATTAAGATAGTTTTCCTTTGGATCTCTTCCTGACTTTATTAACTCAAGAAAACATGTACTTCAAAGAGGGTGTTTTGTTTCTGTTAAATATTATTTTGCTTTAGAAGCAATTAAATATTATTTTCCTTTAGAAGCAATTTAATCTCTTGGCAACAGTTTGATTCATTCGTATCTATTTTGCTTAATCTACAGTTAATTGTTCCTCATAATTGAAACATAATCCTTTTTTATGGTCTATCCAATGCCTAAGAACTTACTGTGCTGCACAGCCCTTAAACTGTGTAAGATTTGGAAACATCATGGTCTCTGGAAAACCTTTCTTTTGCTCCCTGATAAAAACTTTTGTTTCCTATGTAACACTGAAATAATACAAGTGAGAAAATTACAATCACTACACTTTATTAAGCCAATTAAGAGTACAGTAAGTCTTCTAGCCAACTGACCAAGATCAGGCTCCTGCCTGGGGAAGGTTCTTAGTCCCACAAAGGAGGATAGGGATTTTAAAATCAGAGGACTGCAGTTAACATTACACCCGATGCAGGCTGGCAACCCTTTGGGCTCATAAAATGTCATACAAGGCCATTCCTCCAAATAACCAAACTTTTTTTTCTTAACTATTAGTACTCTTTCTCGGAAGGAGGATCCTATTTGGTCTTGGGGAAAAAAAAAAAAAAAAAAACCTTTCTTCAAGGGGCCAGGGCAACCTGGCCTTTCTTAAGCTATTTCATCACTATCACATGTACCATTTTACACCCTTTCTTTTGTTCATATTGTTGATGATTAGTTTTATTTGCCTTTATCTTTTGTCTCACCATGTTTTGTGAATGCTTCTTAAAGCAGGGATTTGTGTGTGATTTATGTTAAGAAGTGGGATTATATTCACATTTTGTTAAGAATTGTATTCGCATTTCCTTTCTTTGTTTGTACATTGAAGTGAATTGGGGGTGGGGAGTCACTGAGTTAGAAGGAACAGTTGAATATATTTTCCAAGGATAATGTTGATTTTTAAATTTACTAAAGTATAGATTAATAATATAGATAGTTCAGGTTTTTAGACATGCCAATTGTGAGAAATCTATGAAATATTTAAATATGTTTTTGGTAGATATTTAGAGATACAAAGTTAGACCCAACCTAGACAAAGATATATAAACTATATATACTGATGACATGACTTCTTCATGGTATGGTTAAAGGGAAGGTTTTTGATGTAGATAGAAGAGAAAGAGAGAGAACAGCCAGAGGCACCTAAAGAGCCCCAAACACTGACTGAATGTAGCCAGCGGACTGGACCTTGACAGAAGCAGGAACAGGGGAGCAGAGTAAAACATGAGAGGAAGACTGTGAACTGGAAGGAGTTTAGGGCAGGGGGGAGGTGAGAAGGGCTAGGAAGATAGCATGCTCTTTGGTATGCTAATAGGCACTACAGATAACTATCTGTCCCTTCTGTCAATGATAAGGAAAATTACTTCTTTGGTGAAAGGGGAACTGGCTTCACAAGTTACCAAGGAATGCTGGCCTTTGTCCAACTGCTAGAAATCCTCCTATATTTCTGGATGTCTAGACTGCCTTTTAGAGTTGAGGGACTGGAGTTTCTTTTGGACCTGACAATACTACCATCTGTTATTGACAGCATGAGTCTGATGATATAAGTACAGAGGATGGGAATGTTTGTTCCTTTAACTACAGACAACAGATTATTTTTTGTCTCACAGGAATTTAGAAACAACCCCGCAATAAACAACTTGTCATTGAACGTGTATGAGGGGCAGATCACTGTTCTTCTGGGACACAATGGGGCAGGAAAATCCACAATCTTGTCTATTCTCACAGGTATGTATCAATCTCCATTCAGGGCAAAGTTACCTTCTTAAGACTGGAAAACAAGGAGTTTTACTCTTGAGGCCTGGACACATAACAAAAAAGCCATGCTATTTGAACCAAAATTCTCTTGCAAGAAATTGATAATTCAGTTAAGAAATGCCACCCTGAACAAACAAAAGAATGAAAAAGGTTGTACCAGTCTAGGGGAAGTAAAAATGTGCTGTGTTCCTGACAACCCTTCCCTCAAGGCAGTTTAACTCACAGCCTAGAGGATTTTTTTTTTTTTTTCCATTAGAAGTTTTCCCTTCGGAAAGACAGAGGAAAGAATGTACCTTCTGCCCCATCTCATTGATTTGAGTTTGCTTTCCAATGGTCAGGATTCTATTTCATCTCTGCCCAAATACTGAAAAAATGATAGAGCTTGGGTACCAGAACAACAGGGAACACAAGATAGGGCAGGTGTTTTCCTATAGCTTTCACTCTAATGACATAATGAGAAAGGGCACAAAACCAAGGAAAATTGTGTCTTATTCCAAACCTAGTTCCAGTTAAAGGACTGATTTCTATATCACTTGTGCTGAGTACTAACAAAACAATAAAGCCCAGAAACTAAGACATCCAAGAGCAAAAGAGAGAGGTGCGGGGGGGTGGGGAGAGCGAGGGGTGCAGACAGACATCTTACTACAGTTGACCCTGCTCTACAAGTTTTGAAAGTAAATACACAGGACCAGTGCCTTTCCTCCATTGGAGACAGAGAAAATAGAGGAAGACTTATGTCCAAGTCTTTCTGAATTCACCAAAGAACTGATGTGTCTTCCAATTTCTGTTCAACAATGATTTTCTGTATAGTACATTACCTGTAGTTAACAGTATTGTATAAAACACTCTAAACTGTGTTAAAAGGTTCAATATCATGTTAGTTGTTACTCCCCACAAGCAAATATTGAAAATGTGGATAAGATGTGTTTATCATACTAAATTATACTATATACATATTTTTTCTCAAATGCTTTCAAGGTACAATTTTTAATAACTAGCTTTGTTCCTTTAATCATTTTTGCCATTTTTATTGAGCTATACATTTTTCTCTACTCCCCTCCTTTCCTCTCCCCTTCTGCCCACTCCCCTGCCCTCATGCTCCCAATTTACCCAGGAGATCTTGTCTTATTTCCCCTTCCTAGGTGGCTATATGTATGTCTCCCTTAGGGTCCTCTTTGTAACCTGGGTCCTCTGGGATTATGGCCTATAGTCTGGTTGTCCTTTGTGTTATGTCTAATATCCACTTATGAGTGAGTACATGTTATATTTGTCTTTGTGTCTGGATTACCTCACTCAGGATGGCTTTTCCCAGTTATGTCCATTTGCCTGCAAATTTCAAGATGTCATTGTTTTTTTTTTTTTTTTTTGCCACAGAGTAGTACAATACTCTATTATGTACATTTATACATTTTCCTTATCCATTCTTTTGTTGAGGGGCATCCAGATTCTTTCCAGGCTCTATAAACATAGTTGAGCAAATGCCCTTGTGGTGTGAGTGTGCATCCTTTGGGTATATGCCCAAAAGTGGTATTACTGGGTCTTGAGGTAGATTGATTCCCAATTTTCTGAGAAACCACGATACTGATTTCCAAAGTGGCTGTACAAGTTTGCACTCCCACCAGCAATGAAGGAGTGTTCTCCTTACTCCATATTCTCTCCAGTATAAACTGTCATCAGAGTTTTTGACCTTAGCCATTCTGACAGGTGTAAGATGGTATCTCAGAGTTGTTTTGATTTGGATTTCTCTAATGACTAAGGATGTTGAGAATTTCCTTAAGTGTCTTTTAGCCATTTGAGATTCCTCTGTTGAGAGTTCTCTTTTTATATCTGTGCCCCCATTTTTATTAGATTATTTAGTCTTTTTATGTCTAGCTTCTTGACTTCATCTTGATGGATTTTTCCTGTGATGAATATGAAATGATCTTCTTCATCTCTTTTGACTAATTTTAGTCTAAAGTCTGTTTTGTTAGAAATTAGAATAACTTCACCAACTTATTTCTTAGGTCCATTTGATTGGAAAATCTTTTCCTAATCATTTACTCTGAGGTAATGTCTGTCTTTGTAGTTGAGGTGTGTTTCTTATATGAAGAAGAAGGATGGATTCTGTTTTTATTTCCAGTCTGTTAGCCTAAGTCTTTTTATAAGCAAATTGAGACCATTGATATTAATGAATAATAAATATTAGTGACTGCTAGTTCAAGTTATTTTTTATTTTGTTGGTGGTAGTGGTATTATATGTGAATTTCTCTTCTTAGGGATTCGCTGGTATGGGATTATCCATTGCCAGTGTTTTTGTGGGTATAGCTAACTTCTTTGGGTTGGGGTTTTCCATCTCGCACTTTCTGTAAGGCAGAATTTGTGGATAGGTATTTTTCAAACCTGGTTCTATCATGGAATGTCTTGTTTTCACCATCTACAGTAATTAAAATCTTTGCTGGATATAGTAGTCTTGGCTGGCATTCGTGTCTCTTAGTGTCTGCATAACTCCTGACCAGGACCCTCTGGCTTTCATTATTACAATTTTGATAGGTCTGCCTTTATATGTTACTTGGCCTTTTTCCTTTGCACCTGTTAATAGTCTTTATTTGTTCTGTATGTTTAGTGTTTTGATTATTATGTGGTCAAGGGATTATTTTGTGGGGGGGTCTAATCTATTTGGTGTTCTGTAAGCTTCTTGTACTTTCATAGGTATGTCTTTCTTTAGGTTAGGAAAGTTTTCTTCTATGATTTTGTTGAATATATTTTCTATACCTTTGAGCTGGACTTCTTCACCTTCTTCTATCACTATTATTCTTCAGTTTGGTCTTTTCATGGTTTCCCAGATTTCCTGAATATTTTGTGTTAAGAGTTTGTTGGATTTAACATTTTTTTCTTACTGGCGAGTCTATTTCCTCTATTGTATCTTCAACTCCTGAGGTTCTCTCTTCCATCTCATATATACTATTGGTGATGCTTGCAGCTGTAGTTCCTGATCATCTACCCTGATTTTCTATTTCTGGAGTTCCCTCAATTTGTGTTTTTTTATTGCCTCTATTTCAGTTTTCAGATCTTGAACTGTTTGCTTCATTTGTTTGATTGCTTTTTCTTGGTTTGCTTTAAGGCATTTGTTGATCTCTTTCAATTTCTTTTGTTTGTCTTTCCCTCCATTTCTCTAAGAGAATTTTTATATCCTCTTTGAAGACCTCAATCATGTTTATAAAATTGTTTTTAATGTCATTTTCTTTGGTTTCATCTGCATTAGGACATACAGGTCTTGTTTCCGTAGAACCACACTAGTTTCTGGTGTTGCTGTGTGTCCTTACCTTTTTGTCCACCCGTCTCTTCCTCCAATCAATAAAGGTGGAGCCTGTGCTTCAGAGGGTTCCTCTTCATCAAATTAGTGTAGTGGGTGAGGGCTATGGCTCCATTGAATGCTCCTTCAGGTACAGGCAGGGCTGAGCTTGTGGTGATCACTCCTCCAGGTGTAGATGGACCCAATGCTCAAATGGTCTTTCCTCTTAGAGTAGGCAGGGCCACAACTCCAGTGGTCACACCTCTAGTTGTAGGCAGTGTTGCAGCTCCAGTGGTTGCTTCTCTGGGTGCAAGTGGGGCTGAGGCTGAGGTAAAGTGGGATTATCTATTGCCTATGTCTTTATGAGTGTAGTTAACTTCCTTGGATTGGAATTTTCCTTCCAGAACTTTCTATAGGGTTGGATTTGTGGATATGTATTGTGAAATCTGGTTTTGTCATGGAATATCTTGTTTTCTCCATTAATAGTGATTGAGATTTTTGCTGGGTGTAGTTGTCTGGACTGGCATCCATGGACTCTTAGTGTTTGTAGAACATCTATCCAGGACCTTCTGGCTTTCAGAGTTTCCATGGAGAAGTCAGGTGCAGTTTTCACAGGTCTGCCTTTGTATGTTACCTGGCCTTATTCTTTTGCTGCCCTTAATATTCAGTCTTCATTCAGTATGTTAGGTGTTTTGTTTATTATGTGGCAAGGGGAATTTAGTTTGTATGTGTGTGTGTATGTGTGTGTGTGTGTGTGTGTGTGTGTGTGTATTTGTGTGTTGGTTTGGTTTCATTTGTTTTGGTTCAGCCTATTTAGTGTTTTGTATGCTTCTTGTACTTTCATAGGCATGTCCTTCTTCAGATTGGGAAAGTTTTTTTCTTCAATGATTTTGTTGAATATGTTTTCTGCACCTTTAAGCTGAGCTTCTTTGCTTTCTTTTATGCCTGTTATTCTTAGGTTTTGCCTTTTCATGGTGTGCCACACTTCCTGGATGTTTTGTGTTAAGGATTTGTTGGATTTAAGATTTTCTTTGGTCAATGAATCTATTTCCTCTAGTTTATCTTCAGCGCCTGAGAGTCTCTCTGTGATCTCTTGTATTCTGTTGGTTATGTTTGCATCTGTAGTTCTTGATCATTTACCCAGTTTTTCTATTCCTAGCATTCCATCAGTTTGTGTTTTCTTTATTGTCTCTATTTCAGTTTTCAGGTCTTGAACTGTTTGAATTGTTTCCTTCATCTCTTTGATTGTTTTTTCTTGGCTTTCCTTCCTTTCTTTAAGAGATTTGTTCATTTCTCTTATTGTTTGCTTGGTGTTTTCTTCTATTTCTTCCAAATTTTTTGTTTGTTTTTTTCTTCCATTTCTTTAAGGGATTTTCTCATATCATCTTTGAGGGCCTCTAACATTTGTATGAAGTTATTTTTTTAAGAGGTTCTCTTCTGCTTCATCTGCTTTGGTGTGTTCAGGTCCCTAGATTCTGGTAGTGTCATTCAGGTCTTTCTATTGTTGGTGTTTTCTTGTATTGCCGTCTTCACATCACTTTTTCCAGTGGGTGCAGGTGGAGTCTCTCTCTCTCTCTCTACCCTGATCTCCCAGTGGGTGCAGGTGGGTCAGGAATTCGATGTCTGTAACTTTGGATGATCCAAGCTCTTGTGGAGGTTTCTCCTCCAGCAGAGGGCCATCGATATGGGGTCCAAAGATCAGGTAAGTGTGGCCTCAAAGTTGTCCC